TTCCTCCTCTGGTCTATCATGTCTCTCTTTCCCTGCTCTTGTTTATTTTCGTTATTCATCCATGGCAGACTTCTTGCCGGTGTAATGTCTTCCTGTTTCTGTGATACAAACAGTGAACCAGGCCTTAACCTGGATGGCGGGCCGGGACTCTGTCAAAACTCTCTCGTCTCTCTTGTGTCCCAGACAGCGAAGTCCATTGCCATCTGTGCTCTCTTTCGTCTCTCTTGTGTCTCAGACGGCGAAGTCCATTGTCGTCTGTGCTCCACTTCGTGTCTCCTTCTAATATAACCGGCAAACGCTCAGCATCGCCTACGTTTTCTTTTTCCTCTTCGTCTACTACAGTCGGTGAAGTCCTAGCGTCGCATGTCTTCTCTCCCCTTTCTTTTGACACAGTCGGCACAAGCCTCTTGCCGCCTGTGTTCCTTCTCTTTCTCTTTTCTATCACAGATGGCCGAAGCACATCGTCGTATGTGTTCTTTTTCTCTCTTCTCTCTTTGAGTCACAGCTGGCGGAGGAACATTGTCGCTTGAGTTTCATCCCCTCTTTCGTCTATCACAGCAGACGCAAGCACGTTGCCGCATGTATTTCTTTCTCACTCAAGTCGTAGCCTGCGGAAGTCGTCGTTTGAGTCTTCTCTCTCCCCATCTCATTGCCGTATGCTCCTTTCTTCCTCTTCCTTCTCTTTCGTGCTTCTTCTCCTTGCTTTTTCCCCCCTGTTCTTCCTCTTCCTCTTTATTTCCCCTCTATCCTCTTTCGTGCTCTTCTTTCTCTTTTTGTTCTCTTTTCTTTCTTCTACTCTTTCGGTTGATCAAGAGGGGTTGAGAATAGCATTTCATGGTAATTCTATCGTCTAGCAGCAATGTCGTTGTGCCAGTCAGAGCTACTGTGCCTGCTTTACTGTCACGACATATTAGCTGTCATGTCAAGCTGGTTAGTATTGATAATGTCCTATAATAGTAATTATATTGAGCTGGTTTGAGTTATCGAGCCCGTTTTACTACCATGCTGGGTCAATTATCGACTAGTTTAGTCACTCTCACTGCCTAGTCAAACTCTTCTCATCTCAATCTTAATTCTCTCATTCTTCTTTTTGAATGTGCACGCCTGTGTATGTTTGCCCTAAGGCAAGGTGGGGTCACTTGACTCACTTGTCTTATAACATTTGCCATATGTGTGTGATTGTAGAAACAAGAGAATACAAGCCAAGGGAAGCGATTCCAAACCAGTTTTACTACTGGGGTCCTTTCTTCGTGATCTAAGAGGGCTCCCACATGAGCCAGCCCGAGTAAGTCCCGAACCCACCTTAAATTTCTGTCTCATCAGTTGGATTACCTGCCCTTGCTCTTGAGCAAGGTTCCTGAGAGAGCGATCTCAAGTCTCAGGTTCCCCTGAAATCCGAGATGCATGCCGCCAGATCATCTGAATCCAAAGGGTGAGATTGAGGCACCTAACCAATATCATAACAGAACATATCTTACTACATGCATTCATATCATAATAGAGGCAGGTTTATATGAAACCACAATATTTCCAAAGAATACTACATGTCATCAGGCTCATTAGCTCAAAATACATCTTCAGATTATTTTTATGGTTTTTCACAGTGAACATAGTCCACTTATAAAGGCATATCATGAGATAAAAATATCATTTGGACTAGAGACCATCTTTATAACAATCTAGGCTCATGAAAATACAACTTTTATGAAGGGCGTAACCCCAAAATTTGGGTTGAAGTTTGCCAAACTATTTGATGTTCTTGAATAAAACCCTTGTTTTCACAGCAGAAAATCCAAGATGACATACTTAGAGATAAGCGGGCATAACTCTCAAACCACAAGCAATTTTATCATAATTCCATAACCATTTTCAAAATAGACTCATTTATCTATCACTTAAAAGTAGTTTGACCTCATTCTGATATATTTTGGTCATTGAAAATTTCTACAAAAAAAATACATTAAATCCCTTGAATTTCATGTCACAAATCTGGCATGCTTCAGAAGACCGTAAATAACTTTTAAACCAAAAACGATATTAACAAGTGGTTTCTTCCATAAAAAAATAGACTCAATTAACTACGCTTTCACAAAATTTCATGATCTAAGGAGATATATAGGATACTCAAACAGTTTCTCAAACCGGACCCACAATTTTGGAAAACAGAGTACACTTTAGCAGGATTTGAGTAACAAGCATCCACACACATTTTCACACCCATACTCATAATTAAATCTCATATTTTGATAAGCTAAGCAAACATGCATCAATCGAAAGCATGAAAATGTGAAAACCGGATCTACTTACAGCACTAAATGAAACTCCAAAGTGCTCCACACAGATTTTACTCTAGATGCTAAGCTCCAAAGGATGGGTTCAAGCTCAAAGGCTTTAGGCTAGGAAAGGTCTCAAAGCTCAGTCTTAAGGCAAAAAGGGGGAGAACGTGGGTGAGAGAGAGCAGGGAGTATAGAGAGAGATCAAACCCAATGGATGGGTGTGAAGGGGGTATAAGTAAGTTTAGGTGGTAGCAACGTGCAATTGCCACATGGCATCCAAGAGGGCATGCATCAGGAGAGAGAGAATGTAATCATGGGAGACAACATCATGGGATGGAAACATGCAATTGACAAGTGGCATGCAAGAGGAGAAAGAGAGAGCAAGCATGTGAGACATCATCATTATGAGCTGAAGCATGCTTGTGCCACATGGCACTCATGCATGAAGAGAGAGAGATCATGAGAGAGAAGGAGCTCCCTAGACTACCGTACACCACCCACGCCCAACAGCACAAACAAACACCCACGCTCCCAGCAACGAACCCATCGGCCTGCACTCACAACAGGCGTCTATATCCATTCGCGCTTGCCAGCGCGTCATAACCACTCGCGCATCATCGCGCACTCACTGCTCTCAATAGCGCACTAATTCACCTGCGCCTTACTGCGCGCACACACACCCGTGCTCTCACGCCCGTACACACACCTGCCCCCACGCGCGCTTTAACACATATCCACCCGTGCGCAGTCACCTGCTCGTGCTTAACTACGCATTGATCCGCTAGCGCTCTCCCAAGTGCCCTCGCGCCAGCTCTCTCATGTCGACGATCTGTCGATGCACTACAATAAGCCGAAAAAAAGTCCGGGTCCTTACATACGATGACCCATTTCAGTGCACGATTGTTGTCTTTTGAATAGTGTCGTAATCCACAGGTTCCAGAATCATGTTTACAACATTCGGATCGAAGAAGGTGGCAGGACCGATACAACGTTCATCTTAGTGCAATTTAAAACTCGAGGACGAGTTTTTCCTAACCAGGGGAGAATGATGCAGATCATTATTTGGTTGCTACAAATTTTATTTTTACAGGTGTAGGTAGACTTTTTTATTTATTATACTAGGATCAATTTTTCAATAGGATTTTTAGGTTAATTTGAATAAGTCTTTTTATTTTAGGCAAGCGCGTTTTTTTTAGAAGTATGAAACGCACTTGCATAAAATAAGTAGACTAATTCAAATTAACTTAAAAATCCTATTGAATCTTATTTCTAAAAATTGATCATAGTAAAATAAAATAATAAAAAAGTCTACTCACACCTCTATAAATAAAATTAATAAAAATAAAAATAAAAATAAAATTTGTAGCAACCCAATTTTGATCAGTGTTAGAGTAGAAGTAAACTAAGCTCCTAAGGGAGCATAATATACGTGTTGTTTTCCTAAAATGTATATTTGAATGGAAGCGTGAATGCTGGTGCTATAATTGTTCTTTTTTCCTATTGAAAGTTGGAAGCCACGTGGAGAGAGAAAGGGGATGGTATGAAGGGATGAGCGTTATTTAAAATATTCAAATAAGATGATAAATATTGACTTGGAGACCAAAGTGACTTTAATTATTAAACTATCAACTTCCTTTGGACTCGTACCACTTAGCCCGTGAAATTGACAGCAAACAAAATAAGGGAACATTTTGAACCATTTCAGGGGGGAAAAAAGTAAGGGGACGTTTTAGTTCCACATCAACGAATTTGAAGCTTAATAAGGGGACCCAAGGGGTTTGTCGCGGGCCAATTAGAAGGACAGGAGTGGGGGTACTCTATCACACCTTTTTAAATAAATTTTTTTTAAAAAATATATAGTAAAAAAAATTGGGAGCTCTATGTCACCATATATCCAAAGAATCGGACAGTCCTTCTGGAAACCGTTCTGAATTGAGCGATTATGATTTTGATCAGCGATCTGTAAAACACTGATCTTATAGATATCAACTTTTTGAGATTCAATTCGTGCCCTGAAGATGACCAAATGTTTACGGTCCATTTGATACACTCCTATTTCAAGTTTTTAGAATTTGAAAATTACTTTCTAGAAAAAACTGTTTTAGAAATCAATAATTACTTTTTAGAAAAAAAATTTCAGAATCAAAGATACCTTGCAAATTTACAAACAAAAAATAGTCACCCTAAGTGGGTATTTTCCCCATAGGAGCCAATAAAGAATATAAAAAAGTATTTGATAAAATAAAATGACTAAAATATTTTTGAAAACTTGAATTTTGGTCATTTTATTTATCAGATGTATTGTTTAGGTGTGCCCCATTGAGATGATGATACATACCAAATTTCATATTCATATAATTTATAAAATAAAAACTAAAAATAAAATGCTCTCATATTTTAGATCTAGGTCAAACAATCAATGCCTTATTTGATCGATGGGAAGTATAGAACTTCTATACATCAGATAAATATAAAAACCTTACCCTAATGAATATATCCAAAGATGGCATACGTCCAAGTCGAATTACCTACCTACAATCTATCTCATATCTCTTGTGACTTAATACACCACCTACCTTTTCTGATAATGTAGTTTCTCATTGGTAAGTTGCATCTATTATTAATAAAATTTTTAATTTTGGCAAAAAAAAAAAAAAAATTCACCTCCTATCTACATTACAAGATAAGAGTATGTTGGTAAGATTTGAGTATATATTGAGTTGGCTTTCCCCTCTCTACATGGGCATCCTCCTATCCATTTATTGGATTTATCCCATTCTCAGAACTCAAAAACTCTCTCTTAATGTGGTTGGACTTCTTTTTATGCTATTTCTCTCTCTATTTTTTTTATTGGTCTTTCTTCCATCTATTTCATTCTTTTAAATTCTTTGATCTGAGAAAGTACTCAAATAGCTTTTTGGATCCCTGCTGCTACGCTTTAGCAATTGATTGCTGGTTGGGCAAGGTACGTATCTGGGTCTCGTTTGATGCTTAAGCTCTTTTTCTTTCTCTCCTCAAAGTCCCATTGCTCTAACATATGTTTTGGGTCATCCCCCATTGAAGTGTTCGTACATATCATCTTGCTGTTTTTTTCTTGTTGGGTTTCTTTGGATACTTGTTGCTTCATTCTTTTTATTGATTGATACTGGTTTTTTACCAAGATATATTCATTGATATTAATTTGGGAGGGTGTTGATTTCTGTCAAAGCACATATTTCATGGGTCAATTGGTTACTATTGGATATGTGTTGAAGATGGTGAGCCACGCTTCTGAGATGGATTTGGTTTTGATAGGTTTGATGGTATGTTATTGAAGGTTGGAGCTTTTGGGTCTGATTTCCTTAGAGAAATCGATGGGGAAAAAGCTCAAAAAGAGGACTAGACATGGGTCTGGGCATAAGGATAATAGGCCCTCAGCTGTTTCACCTCTAATGGAGAATCATGTGAACCAGAAATCCAAATTGGTTGAAGAGAATACCCATGTTTCAAGTTCCAAATTGGTTGAAGAGAATACCCAAGTTTCAAGTGGAAACCTCTGTAGACATGCTAACAAGGCTGTTAATTTCTCGGCCCTCTCATCGAAAAATAGAAGATTAGGTGTAATTAGGTGTGAAGATTGTTCTAAGGATAGTGAGAGGAAGGAGAGGAAAGGAAAAGGTAAACAGGGTAGAAATAAAGGACTTTATGGGGAGAATTCAGACTCCAATAGTGTTTGGGTTTGTTTGGCTTGTGGGCATATGGCTTGTGGAGGTGAAACCACTGATTTCAAGCCTCACCACCATGCTTTTATGCATTGGAAATATTTACGTCATCCTTATGCTCTTCAAAGAGAGAATCCTTTCTTGTGCTGGTGCTTTAATTGCAATAGGTTGATCACAGTTGATATAAGTGGGGAGAGAGAGATTCTAGGGGATGATAAAGAGAGGGATGAGGACAAGGGAAACAGTAGCGATCTACTGAAAGCTTTGAAACTCATCAATGATATGAAACCAAAAGGTTCAAGGTTAGATGTTGAGGATGTCTGGTTTGGTAACAATGTCGGAGCAGCAACCCAACTAGAAAGCAGCAATTCAGCATTACTGGACACGAGGAAAGAGTGTGACATTAGAAGTGGTTATGTTGTTAAAGGGTTGCAAAACCTTGGAAACACCTGTTTCTTCAATTCGGTTTTGCAGAATCTTCTTGCACTTGGTTCCTTGAGGGATCATTTCTTGAATATGAACCATTTTAATGGAGGCCCATTGAGCTCTGCCCTGAAGAAGCTTTTTTGTGAGACTTGTTTTGATCCCTCTGAAAAAGGAGGCCCCAAGGAGTCAAAAAATTGGGGTCAAACTCATGGAATTTTAAACCCCAAATCACTTTTTGGTAACATATGCTCAAAGGCTCCTCAGTTTCGGGGATATCAGCAGCAAGATAGTCATGAATTACTTCGGTGCTTGCTCGATGCTCTTTCCACTGAAGACTTGGTTTCGAAAAAATCAGCTGCTAAATCTAACAGTGGAGAAGATGAGGAGAATGGTCCTTTGAATGTGGATGTATCATTTGTGGATGGAATCTTTGGGGGCCGACTCTCTAGTACTTTGTGCTGCTCGGAATGTGGTCGCTCGTCTACAGTTTATGAGCCTTTCTTGGACCTTTCTCTGCCAGTTCCTGCTAAGAAACCAACTAAGAAAGCACCGATTGCTCGACCAAAGAAACTGGCACTGGGGAGGCCTGGAAAAGCTTCATTAAAGGAATCTAGGAAGGGTCGAAGGGACCAAGAGAAAGGAAACTCTTTTATTGGGCCAATTTGGAATCCATCTGCAGGAATTGGTTTATCATCTGAATGTAGTGAAGGCTCTTCAGTTCCTTCTAATCCAGTCGTGAAAGAGGAAGAAACGGTAGCTCCAGAGGAGAGCGTTCGTTGGCTGGATTATATTGAAGATCCAAAGGAAGACTCTTCATGTGTCAATGCTCCAGAGGAGAGCTTTTGTTGGCTGGATTATATTAAAGATCCAAAGGACGGCTCTTCATGTCTCGATGCCTCAGAAAGTAAGCCAAAATGCTCGTTTTCTCATTGTGATGGCGACACAACAAAGAGAAATCCTGAGACTGGGTTGGTCGTTGATAATAGGGACACTTCTTCTTACTCCGCCGAACCCAAGCATGAAGACCCAAAGGATTCATCACTTGAAAAATCTGAAACCAACAGTTGTCTCCCTAATGGTGAGCCCAAAATTGGATGCGATTCATCTGGTGATGATAATGAATTCATAGATGATGGCGAGCCATTGGTAATTGGGGATTCTGAGGTTTTGTTGCTTCCTTACAAGGAAATGGATTCCACTGAGGAAGGGATTCTAAGTGATCCACAGGAACCTGATACTCTTCTTAATGGTTATGGTTTGAATGGGGATTCCTCATCTGTTGTTCTTGGATGTGAGAAAGGGGCAGATGAATTTGATGGTCTTGGCGACTTGTTTAATGAACCAGAGATTGTTTCTGATCCCAAAAAGGAACCAGGTTCAGGAGGTAATAACATGCAGTTTATTGATGAATTTGTAACACAAGATTTATCAGAGACTGAGTTTAACCAGGAGGAAGTTGACAATACCGATGCTCCTGTTTCAGTTGAGATTTGCTTAGCAGATTTCACAAAACCAGAGCTTCTTACTGGAGTGCACGGTTTCAATTGTGAGGGCTGCTCCAAAGCTTTAAATCATAATAACAATAGGGAAACCAAGGTTTTGGAAGATCAGGTTAATGGGGCAAATGGTTCAGAAAGCATGGAATCTGAAGCCTCTCTTGATGCATTGGAAACCCAAAAATCCCGACTGATTAATGGGTCGAAAGGTTCACTGCCTTTTGAGCCAGAAGAGTCATCAATTAACAGAAGGTTACCTGCTGATGTATCAGACTGTTCTTCAAATTTAGATAAACGTGGTTGCAATGAGAGCTTTTGTGCTCAAAACTGTGATGATCTATGCAGTTCTGGCTGTGATTCTGCAAGCTCCCGAGGTAGTGATGGTTGCAATCTGGCTGAAAAATCAAAACGCGAAAAATATATGTTGTCAGGAAGAACAAAGAATGCAGAAAAAAGAAAAGATGGCCAAATGGAGTGTTTTAAGAGGGATGGGACCAAAAGGTTCCTTATTAGTAAGGCACCTCCTGTTTTAACAATTCATTTGAAGAGGTTCAGTCAAGATGCTCGTGGCCGCTTAAGTAAACTGAATGGTCATGTCAACTTCAGAGAAATGCTTGAACTTAGGCCTTATATGGACCGGAGGTAGTTCTTGACATTCTTTGGGATTCTGGCTCTTCTTTGCTGTTAGTTTCTATTATCATGCGGTTATCTATTTGGATTTCTATTATGTTTCAACGCTTGCTTTTCTCAAATAATCTCTGAAATGTGATTGGTACCAGGAATTCTTCTTCTAGAGCTTGGATGGATAATTCTAGTTAAACAGTACAGAGAAAGATTTGGCTATCTTATAAGCACTTAAATGAATACATGCATAATACATATAAATAAGCTTGTGTGTGTGTGTGTGCATGCGTGTGTGCGAGTGTTTATCGTGGTGTATGGGTGCGTGTGTGTGCTTGTGGCCACAGGCATATATGGGTGGTTGTGGTTTTCGATGCATGTGCATATGATGTAAGTGGGCTTCTTGTTGTTATTTGAGCATGTATATGCCAGGATTTGTGTTAGTGCTTCTACTCTTAAGCCTTAGCATTTAATAACAATATATATATAATAGTTAAGGTTATGTCCACATCAATACCTTGGAATGGATATTTTTGAAGATGTACCCGCTTTGGGTTATTTCCAAGCTATGAGTCTACTTCATGAGCTTTTTACCACAATAATATTTATTTCTCAAAAGACATAATCAAAGAAAGATTTATGTGTGCTATGTGGTTTTTTGGAGGAACACTATACTTCAGCCTGAGTAATAGAATAAGATGTTCTGTCCATAGTGGGGCTGGATGGTGGAAATTATCGTTTGATGTGTAGTAGTACATATGTGACTTTTTTGCATGATAGTGTTTATAGTTATATACTTACATATATGTAACACACAAGTATCACATCAATACTATGATGCTTTATCCATTTATTAGGTGCTTTGCAAATGCTTGTTTCCATGTTGCAACCATTATGTACAATTTGTATAAAATTGGAGACAATCCTAACCGGTGTGTAGTGCAATTTGTATAAAATTGGATTCAAAAGTGTCCTCCTTGGGACAGGAGGAGGTTATGGTGATCAAAACTACCCTAGAGAGGGAGATCTAGTGCTGAGAAGATTAGGTTTTGAGACTCCATCTTTGGTGGGGGTCTGCCACTCTGCTTGCCTTGCACCAAGCACATTTGGAAGATAGTTGTTGGAATCGAGATTAGATCCTGGATCAGGATGAGGACCTCAAGATCGTGACAAGAAGGAAGCTTCTTATGGTAAGGATCACAGTTTGTACAACCTGAAATCCTGGGATCTCATTCCCAATATGTGGAGCTTGATCAAACTTCGGACCGAGCTCCATCTGGTCCAAACTAAATGTCCCTGTGGGCAATTAACAAGTATAGTAGTGTAATATGTTGTACTTATACTACCACATTGCTTTACAATATTGTAATGCTATCTTATACTATTATACTAAGCTGTATACTATTTTCTTCTATATTGTGGTATATGCGACTATATTTAAGTCAACTATATACAACTATGTTATACTATACTATACTATGCTATATGCTACACTATTTAAATCTACTATATATGTGATACTGTGTGCTCCTATTTTGGTGGCCATCATGCAGTGGTTGAAGAGATGGGCGATTATCTCTTGATTTGTATTGCATATGGTGCATCTGTTCTTTAGAGGGATACCCCTTCTCTGAATATGGTCAAGAATGACACCCTTAGTTAGAAATGTCTAACCAGTGATGGCTTGAATTTTGCGAGGTGTGGGGCTAAACCATGCATTGAGGCAATGTTTAAGCTGTGGTCAACATGATTGAAGTTATTGAAGATTGTCCCAATCAAGAAAATACCTATGGGTGAGGGGCACCAGACCAGCTTGTCTCGGCCACCTCTATGAATGTCCCAAGCCTTGAGAAGGTTCAGCAGGGACTGCAATTCCGTTGTCGCTTAAGTCATGAGGATTCCTCCTAAAACTAGGAGACAAAAATAGTTTGGCCCCCAGTTTCTTTTTTATGTGCTTGAGACAGGCTTTCTGGTTTGATTCTATGAGAAAAACATAGAGAAGGTGCGTTCAATAATTTTGTTCCCCTCCCAAAGGTTCTTCTAGAATCTGACCCTATCACCAGTTCTCAATTGGAATTGAATCTAGGATGAGAGATCGAGGTATGTTCCCGCAATGCGTTTCCGGGCTCTAGAGGCACGAGCATTGGCTGACCCTTGTGGAGCCAGTGCCTGAGTCATCGGAATCATAACTATATTTATTCACCTAGTGCCATAGATGACTTTCTTGAGTGTTGTACTGCCACCACCATCTGACAAGGAGTGTCGTATTGCATTCCTAGATGCTTCTAATATGTAAACCCCTTAGCCTTTTAGCTTAGCAAATGGTCTCTTATCAAACTAGAAGTAATTTGCATGCTTTGCCTACAACACTCCTTAGGAAGTCCCTATGAAGTGCTCCAATTTGACGTCTTGAACACTGGGATATTGACGTCTTGAACACTGGGATATTTTGAGAGTGGATTCGATCAACATTATACATCCTCATGACAAAAAGGAGGTTGTGCTTCCAAAGCCACCAATCTGTGATCAAATCGCTTGACCACCTCGTCCCATTGATGCGTCCTAGTTTTACTATGTATGAAGGAAAACCTAGGTATTTGTTGGTTAGAGTGTCAGTCCCACAATCCTTGGTTAGGACTTGGATGTTAATGTGCAGCATAGAGCTACCCCAGTTAACTTGGTTTTCACCATGTTAACTATGTGGCAAGTAGCCAGTTCGAATCACCTAAGGAACAGCCTTTCGTCGCAAAAGACAAGATTGTCATGCACGTATTGAAGATGGCTAATCAGAGTCTAGATGTGGAGAAACCTTTGACCAAGCATGATTGCATAGATTGGATAACGATCTATTGAAAATCTCACTTGTCATAGGGAAAAGGAAAGGGTATAGGTGGTCTCCTTTGCCTAGACTTCTTGAGGAGGGGAAGGAAAGTGGGAAAACCGTTGATTAGGATGGCTAAGTGGGGGAAGGATATGTACCCTTTGATCCAACCTCTTCATTTGTTGTCGAAACCCATTAAACTGATCACTTGGTTAAGGAGTTCCCAATCTACATGGTATGCCTTCCATGTGTAACTTAAGGATGAGGCCAAGGATGTTGCCTTGATGCCTGGATGCAGTCATGGACTTTTAGGGCCCCATCCAGAATTTGGTGTTCTAAGGCAACTTGGTTCAAGACCTATCACAAGCGTGCCTGCCTAGGCGGGTGGCCAGTGCCCAGCCTTGGGCCCGCCCAGGCCTGTGCCCCACCTAGGGGAGGATATATTTTACTTTATTTTGTTCTATTGAGGGTTTTTAAAACATAAAGGCTTTTAAGGATGGGTTATAGGTTCATTTGAAATATAATCCAACAAGAACCCATTTTAGAGAGAAAGAAACTTAAAAAAAAATTAAATTTTATGATTTTCATTGGATCGAAGTGTTTCTCAAAGTTACGAAAAACGGATTCAGACCTCACCCAGGTAGATTAGATTTAGTTTTGGAGTTTTATAATCTTATTATAGGGTGTTTTTTATTACTTCTGCTCTTGAAAATATCTCAGAGGTGGGAGTTTGGAGTTCAAGCAATCAAAGTAAGTGCAAAAATTTATTTTAAGATTGCTTGCTTTATTTTGAGATATCTTCTTTAGGATCTAGTCGAAGTGGATATCCGGGATAGATATAACCCGAATCCAAATGACAAAAATTGCATTAGATGCAATTATTGTGAAAAAGATACAAAAGGGGGCATAAACCGGTTTAAGAAACATCTTATCGGTATTAAAGGGGATGTTGGCCTTTGTAAAAATGTTCTTGAAGCTATCAGAGAGGAGATTAAGCAATATATGAGTTCTGTAAAACAAAAATAGGAACAAAATCCTTGTCATTTGAATAGATCTATTTCTGCTTCTTTTAGAAGAAATGATCCCGGTTGGAAGTATGGTTATAACCCAAAACCAAACGATATCAATGGGGGTATTAACCGATTCCATAAACATTGCTGGTATTAAAGGGAATGTTGTTTCTTGTAAAAAGGTTCTTAAAACTATTCGGGATGAGATTAGACAATTTATGAATTTAAAAGAACCAGAAAAGGACGAAAATGAGCCTTGTTCTATGGATATATCTTCTCTAGGCTCTTCTAGAAGTGATGGTCCGGGTTAGAAGTATGGTTATAACTCGAATCCGAATGACAAAAGTCGTATTAAGTACAATTATTGTGGAAAGGATACTAATGGGGGCATTTATCGGTTTAAAAAGCACCTTGCCGGTATTAAGGGGGATGTTGCCCCGTGTAAAAATGTTCTTGAGGCTATCAGGGAGGAGATTATACGATATTTGAGTTTAGAGAAGTATAACAAGATAGAAAAGAGTAGTGCGGCCAAGATTCCTAGGGCCTCATCTACACATACTAGTAAGAGGGAGGTAGTAGAAGAGGAGGAAGAAGATGCAGATTCAGAAGAAACAGAGGAGGACGAACTTTATATTGAAGAGGGAGATGACTCTGATGATTCTCGAATCTGATGCATATAATGAGGCTTACCCTATTTCTTCTGATGATGATGATGATGACTGAAGACTCTTGGTGTTGAGTGTTGACTATTGTTCCTAGACTATATATTTTCTGAATTTCTATATATATTCTTTTTCTTAATTTTAGTTTCTACTTTCTAGTTTCTAGTTCTACTATCTAACTTTTGCATGTACAGTCTACATTGTATCAGACCATCAGTGTATGCTTGTATGGTTTTACTGTTTTATCATTATATGAAAATTGAAAAATGAAAATATGGATTATGGTCTCTTATAGATTATCAAAATTCTCTTATCGACTTCTATCTTTCTTTTTTTTCAACTGGGATTATGGTTCTATGGATTATCAAAATTCTTATGGATTATGGTATTATCAAAATTCTTATAGATTAATCATTATCAGACTATCTCTCCTTTTTTTTTCTTTTTTTTTTTTTGGTTCCAATTGGGTCACCCAGTTTCTGGGCGCCCGCCTAGGCGTTGGGCGGCCTGGACCCCCATGGCTGCCTG